GCAGTTGTTGCGCGAAATGGACAAAGAAAAGGGCGAAAAAAAGAAGGATGCACGCGAGCACCCGCGCGGAGGCCTGAGGCGGGAGAAACGTTTTTGCTTCGCACGGGCAAAGCGCGCGCCGATAATTCCGGGCTTCTCTTTCGCCGCGGAAAAACGGCCGGTCCCGGCCGTTGCGTTGTTACCAGGTAAACGCGCGACCGCGATTCGGGGTCAAAGTGTCATGAAAGGTTAACCGTAGTTGAACGAGTTCGCGTTAAGTTAAGCTTCAGTTTCGCCCGGGTGTATTCGCGAAGCGCCTCTGTACACACAATTTAATGATCTTACTAACTCGGACGGGCTTTTCCATTATTAGTTCGGATCACCCGTCTTCGTATTACCCGAGCTCGACGTAATGCCGCCGAGAGAAGCGATGTGTATCGTCCCGATAAGATCGGGAACGTCGATTGGCGGTGACACGAGGTCGCGATTAGAGTCGACACACTGTGCGTGACGTACGACCCCACGTCCGGGTGTAGCATGACGTCATTCCGCTTGCGACCCCACGCGCGCTCGGTCATTGATGATTTTTCACGGCACCGGAAGAGGTGTTAAGCGAACCGACCTCACGGCTGTTCCCCGGTATTATCGTGACCTGGTTGCGAAAGCGCGCGTAATCAATTATTTGCTCCTTGACACGACCGATCGACGAACCTCGATCGATTCGAGTCCGCGCTTCGAGTCTCTCTCTCTCTCTCTCAAACGCATCGGCGTGTTCGATTTCTACAAATTTGTGTTTCGTTGGAAATAAAAAAATAAAAATAAAACAACTAAAAAAAGAAACTTTTGTAATTGGCGAAACATGCGCACGTTCTGCTCGTCTCGCAAAGTTGCGCAAGTACGCGAGAGAGCGCGTTTTACCGCTCGACTTCAGATTTTCCGAGGCGACGCGGCGGGTATTAGAGACCCGGCGTCCGAGGTCGTCTATTTTTACGGCAAATAAAAATATTTTATTAAAGCGAACGGAAGTAGCGGCGACCTCCCATAACGCGCCGGTGCGAGCGGAAGGTGCATGGCGCCCTCGGTTATGAAACTTTCATATCCCCGACCGTACGCTCGCCGGTAATACAGAGTTAAAGGCAACGGCGGAGCTCCGGAGTAGGTCGAAAGGCGCGGTTTATCTGTCCTTAGAGAGCGATGCGGTTCCTTTTAGATTACGAGTACCTCGCGTATTGTATGTACGTACTTTTATATATACCGATTGTAAAGTTTCAAAGAACTTCTCGCGCGCGAAACTCAGATACGTGTACATCCTCTTTTACTTATACGTAAAAAAAAAAAAAAAAAAACTCGCACATGTCTCTATTATCGAATATAACGAAATATGATATATCGAAAAATTCTGTTACTGCACAGTTTTTTTTTTATTTCCAGTCGGATGTTTTAATTGAATTTCGTGTCGCGTGCGCGCGTTATATTGACACTATGGACTTTACGCGCGCGTTTGCGGAAAAGGGTTCTTCACGCGTTCGAGCGGCACCGGCGAGACTCTTGGCTAAATACGACGGATAACGGAGGGATGTGAGGGAAACGAACGACAACACCACGACGGCTCTCTCGAGAATAACAGCACGCCTGTTGTCCGCGGCTCTGAAATCCTCTTTCCTTTAGAGAGGGAAGAGTAAATATTACCGTGGAAGAGCTCGTACGATAGTTCCGTAAATAAAGGGCAACCGCGCACGTCATTGGTATAATACGATTCGATCGCGTTGCCAATCCCGCGGATTTATTGCCGCTCGATTTTCATAGACGGTCTTCCGATATTTGTTTATCGATCGGAGGGATCTTGCAAATTTGTTTATCGCTTTGCGATGAATCGCGAGCGAAGCATCGCAAAAGAGATATTGAAACACGTCTATATATACACATAGCGCGTTCGTTCGCGATCGCACAGCGTCTACGCGGAGAAATTAACGCCGACAATGTTAATTGCAATCAACCGTTTCCCATTAAACGGCAAACGATTATTTATGTGAGACGCCGTGAGGTGAATCGTGCATTACTCCAGAGTTTATCGCCGGGTCATAGCGGAATGAACGTGCCGAGTACACGTGTCGGGTTAACCATTAATCCGGGGCTTACTCATACACAATTCAAATGCAACCTGAAGCCATGGCGATTCCGGCCCCGTCGTCCTCTAATTTAAGCCACATCACAAGAGCAGCACACGTTGATTAGCCTAAGCAAATGATTGGTGATACGTACGCCTGGCCGGCAATCTCGTCGGTAAGCATGGCTTATTTACACAACGAACACGGCGCGCCCGCGTTTGCATTCGCTAGTAAGAAGCTGCGGATTTCATTACACGGCTACATAACTCGCTGCATAAATATACTCCGTTTCTCCGAATACTCGCTGATTTCACGATGAGATCTCTCAATTTTCAATGTTCCGGTGATAGCTGTCGCGGATAAGCCGTAGTGTAACTTGCGAATTGAGATAACGATAACCCAAGAATAAGAATTTTCTTATTCATTCACTTTGTCTTTGTTTCGGTTTTGTGGAGTATTATTATTTTTACGGCGTATTATATTTTTGACGCACAAACAATCGCAAGCGATCGCGCTGAATATATTTCCCAGTAAATGATAAATACGAGACGAAAGAAATTTGCGTACATCCCTTTGTGTTTGGTCGCGAAAGAAAATATCATCCACCGTGGAATTGTTACTCACCGGTGATGATCTCTCTCCTCGGGAAGAAGCGGGAATACTCCCCCATCGATTCCTCCTCTCGATAACGTTACGGACGCAGGCTGATATATCCATCGGATTACAATCTGTTCGCTCCTCGCAATCGCATCTAGTCCATCTCAATGAAGAGAAATCCGGTTATCGTATACTTTGCAGACACCCACGGGACGGGTAATTCGATTTCGGCGCGGGCGCCAAATATCGGTTTCGGCCCGCCTCAATTAATAGATCGGCCGGTTGCACTTTGCCTGAAAATGGGAGAGAGATACATTACACACACGCGCACGGTATAATCTCAGTCAACGGTAAAAGTGGAGGAAGCGCGCGAGTTGTACGACAACAAGTGTGTTGTATCGCGCGTAACTGCGGTAGATTGATTGTCGGCCGTCAACGGTTTCATGGTCTTCTATTGTACGGCGGAAATTTATAGGGCATTTTTCGCATTTTCGCCGTTTCTCCCTTCACGCTCGTACTTTTTCTCTTATCTATTCCCTGGCGTGAAACGCGCAGTGATATAAGGACGGTAGCGATCCAACGAAACGCTCAAGGAGACATAGCAGAGTCGTAAAGATCCTACTTCTTCTTCGGAGTATCGCGAAACTCATTCGAGTTTATGGAATACATCCGACGCGCGGGCGCGCACACGAGCGGAAGAAAAAGCGGAGAAATAGCCGCGCCGTGAAACAAGGTGAATTAAAAAGGGAGCTGAAGGAAGAATTTATTCCGATATATGTGTATATGTATACATATATATATATATATGGAACATCTACAATAAATATTCAATTTGATATCAAAATTTAGTTTGAATCGTTCTCTGAATTCTTTTTTTTTTGTGTGTTGTTATTTTTTGTTTATTGATATTTCTCAGTTCGATGAATAAAATTTCTTTTTACCGAATTAAATAAACTAACATTTGAAAAATCCAACAATAAGCAGTCAAGTTCTTTTTATTTTTAAGTTCTTTTGATTTTTAAGTTCTTTTATTTTTCTTTGTTTGTTTATTTTTAAAACTATAAAATTGTCGCGCTTTGCATAATTCAAAATTATAATTAGTTCTAATTAATCTTCTGTGTATGATTAAACATGGAAAAATATAAACCGTAATTTAATAACGATCTATTTCAATACTATACAATGATCTCTCTGTTCCGTCTTTCTTTGACACGACCAAAGTGCAACAGAGCTTTGACTTTGCAACAGAACTTTGGCGACATAGTAAATCGCGTATAATCGCAAGACATCTTCCTACTCCCCAGACAGGTGAGCATCTAGGTCAGGGCGTAAAGTTTAAGGGTTACTACTAAAATTTGCATATCGCTCGGGTCCGAAGCGCGGAGCCGCCATCTTCCCCGAGAAACGGATACGTGACACACTAATGCACAAATGCATTTATCTCATTGTGTATCTCTGCGCTCGTGTAAAGTGATAAATTATAAATAAATATATAAATTATATATATATATATATATGTGTAAATTAAAACCTCCTACACACTATAAAAGTATAATATACATACTATATATACATACATATATACATACTATCGCCCTCTTTCTTTCTTCCTTTCATCTCTCTCTCTCTCTCTCTCTCTCTCTCTTTGAATATTTAGGAATATATTTTCTTAATTAACAATTTTTACCTGAATATTGTACGAATTAATTGATGAATGTGCGAAGATCACTTGTACTGACATACAAAAGCGTATTCGACTTTCGCGACTATGTCGAGAAGCGGATCGCGATATTTGCACATAATAATGATTATACGCGATTGTTTTGTATGTGTTACAACGTACGCCCGATACTTTACGACAGACTTACAATACTTTTTTGAGCGGATGGAGTTTTTTTACTTTTATACACTACTTTTTTACACTAATTTGCACGAAATCCACAAAACGATCTGAGAGCGGTTGCGATTTGAGCGCGAACTGGCGATGACCGTGGCGGCGAGCGTTCCATTTCGATTATCGCAATATCGAAATCGATGACTCGTCACACAATCGATATTTTTATTGCCGCTGTTAGACTTCGTCTCACCATGGTCTTTTGTATATTTTATTTTTATTTTTGATTAATTCTTAGTGTCTCTAATTTATACAACGTGTTTAAAAAATACAAGCGTGGAAGATAGAAGTTGCCAATGTGCACCCACCCATAGACATTGCGCTGGCTTACAGGATGGAAAAGCGATTACACGTTCTCTCTTACAAGCCTGGCCGCTCTCAGACTTTACCTGACTTCACGCGTAACGTCCCGATGGTTCTGAAGCGCATCGCAAGATGTCGCGCGAAATGCACTTCTGGCGGAAGTGAGAACTCGGCCATAGTCTTTTTAGGTTGGGTTCTCTCGTAGTGGCACGTTGTCGGACAGTAAGTACATCGTAATAATAAGTGATCTTTTCCACAATTAATATTTCCGCTATTGCCGTAAATCACGTTTTAAGCTTTGCGTTAACTTCTGTCGCTCTGATTTTATGCAAAAATTGAGAGACAGTTATTAAACAAAAGAAACTTGAGAAACAAATGCAATTCGATATGTTGCTAATGCTTCACCAATGATTTTGCGTTGTCAATATTGAAATATTTCGACCCTCCAAATTTTAGTATTTATTTCATACGAAAACGATTTTCTTTCCCGTAAACACATTTTCCACAAACAACAAGTTGCAAACGCAAAAAAAAATCTCGATTATGTTTCGCAACATTGTCCGATAAATTTGCGACCCTTATTTTTCGTTTACGATTCAGGTGAAACACCATGCAGATATTCGTGAAAACTCTCACGGGTAAGACCATTACCCTTGAGGTGGAAGCCTCCGACACTATTGAAAATGTGAAGGCCAAGATTCAAGACAAGGAGGGGATCCCACCGGATCAGCAGCGTCTCATCTTCGCCGGCAAGCAGCTGGAGGATGGACGTACTCTCTCTGACTACAATATCCAGAAAGGTATATTCATGTTAAACACATGTAGCGTATAATTAACTACAAGACTTGCTGTGTATAAGATATAATTCTTTGTGTTCTATGAACAAAGTGTTAATAGAACTTGATATAAAAATGGGAAACAGAGGTATTAAAATATCTAATAATTTTTTTTAGAATCTACACTCCATCTGGTGCTCCGTCTCAGAGGAGGTGTAATTGAGCCCACTCTGCGTATTCTCGCACAGAAATACAACTGTGACAAGATGATCTGTCGCAAATGCTATGCTCGTCTTCATCCCAGAGCAACCAATTGCCGTAAGAAGAAGTGCGGTCACACAAACAACATCCGCCCTAAGAAGAAGTTGAAGTAGATTAATTATCCATTATCCATTTCTTTGCTACGAGGATGGAAATATACTTCTTATATTTGGCTTCAAATAAATTCTAACTGGTAAACTGACAATTTGCATTTTATTTTTCTTATTTTATAAGATAGAATTATTTATAATTCTCGATAAAATTTAACATCAAGCCACAGCTGAGCTTATAATTTATTATGATATGATACATATATGTGTACAAAAATTTATATATCTAGTATATATGTGCAATATGGTACATGAGATACTTTTATGCAGAACATATTTTTCCCATTAACGCTTTATACTGATTGGCATAAGTTTTATATATATCCATATCATTTGGTGCTGAACCTCCTGTCTGTAAAGATATGTATATGTTTATAAAATTGTACGTACATTTTCTTGTTATACTTAAAACATATGGTTTACATACCGTGGCTCTTTTAACATATTGTTCATATATGCTTATGCTTTCATTTTTAACAGAAGGTAGTGTAATAAAAGCAGTTGTAGTTTCGGGAAACGATGCTTGCTGCATTAATTTTGAACGCAACTTAGTGTGATCAGTGGGATATGTCGCGTTACGTCCTATTAGAACGTATCTGAAAAAAAAAAAATTGTTGAGACATCTTTCTTTTCCGTATACTTGCGAGAGAATGTTTGTGTTTTCATTACCTTTTATACAAAATAATATCGTTTCGTTTTGGATATTCCGGTTGTGTGCCATATACTTCTTTCATAGATGGAAACAATGACTCAAATGGCATCAGTTCTGAACTATCCTTAGAAGTAATTAATTGGGAATCGTCCATTTGTTGATGACTTTCGTCTTCATCCGAACTCGAATCCTCGCTTGAACTATAAAAATTTAATGATACTAATGCTTTATATAGTCGTAATTAAATTGAAAAAGTAATAACAAGTAATCGATTTGTTACCTTGCACTTGACGTTGTGCTGCTCGTACTGCTCTGACCGGTCATAGATGGATTTTTCATATTCAAACTTTTAGTACCTGCCTCTTCTCTTCGTCTACCTGGTCGCACGCGAACAGCAAACGGACTGTAGCAGGTGGTGAAGTGCGGCATAAAATCTCTGACGGAATGGCTTATTTTATACGCGTATACCTCGGACAGCAAAGACTGTTCATATGGTCTAAAAATATTTTCATACGGGATGTAACCCGTGAAATTGTTATATAAATTTATAACACATTTATAATAAAAAAAATAAGTAAAACATTATGAAGTAAATGACACACTACCTGTGATAGTCGTAATAGACATCGATCATTTCTTCTGTTGAATTTTGCATTTGTATCATTTCTGAACAGGATTTAGTCACTTCATTCAACGCGTAAGGAAGACACTTTGTCACATTTGTATCCCACCACTGTGTCAAAGGTTTTGTTTTCCTTGTGTAGAGACAAGCCGGTGCGTGATGCAGATAATAATCCGTTACAAGTTCCCATATTGGAGGCTTTCCTTCCTCAGGTACAAACAATCCTAAAATACGTATATAGTGATTGAATTAGAAATGTGTGAAGTGTTTACGAAAATTGAGCTACACATACATTTATTTACCCAGAAACAAATTAATCGTGTGCTGTTTTTCTTGATCACTAAATGTATTGCTGTAATATCTGCTTAAAGTTTGCATAATGTCGTTACCCTGACTTGTCCACGGGGCAGTTTTCCTAAATAAATATAAACAGCACAACGATTGTTTTCAACCAATTTATTATTTTATTTTTATTGTTAAATGTAATGACCTTCGCTTACCTGTAAGTTTTGATTCTGTGCACTAGTTGCGAACCGCCATATTGCAAGGCTAGAGTATCCCCGTGATCCTCGTACAATTCCTCCAACATTCGCACGCAATCGGAATCAAATTCGAGTTTAGAAAATTCCAATACACCTAAAGCACACAATTGAAATCCTAAGGCACATTTTCCTATTGCAAATTGAGCCGTGTTCGTTCGATCTAAACAATCAACACAGTTCGTTCTGATAATTCCAGTTTGCACAGTTCCTCTTCTTGCGAAACATTCTCTCACTTTTTCTTCGATTTGACTTATATCATTTGTCCTATCGACATCTACACTTGGATTAACAGAGTTTCTGATATCGTTTAAATTTGATAAAGTGGAACTCGAATTCGTTTTGTGAAGCTTTTTGGTGTTACTGTTCTGTGGCAAAAACAGATATCTCTGACTATAATAAGGATTTTGTGACTGATAAATACCAGTCTTCAATACAGCGTTGTAAGCGATATTTGCTAAGCGTCTCATAACATTCACTTCTTTTCTATAAAAAAGATAAAAATCAAAATTAAATAGTAAATTGTCATTTCCTCTCTTTTTATTTTAATTTCAAACTTACCTCTTACTCATACGTGCCATATCGAAACTGATATATTGGATATGATGCTCTGGAGGTAGAAACTGATTCAAATATTTCACAGCCATGCTCAATTCTTCACTTAATGTACTTTCGTGTTTCTTTTTTTCTCGTTTCTTTACTAAGTTTAATATTATTATCGGCGATCCGTACCTTTTTAAAAGTTGATTAAAATGTGCTCCTAAATCATTTATTATATAAAATATGTAATAAGAATATTTTTAAAAAGTTGGTTTTTAAATAATTTAAATTTTAGGTTTTTATACCTGCTGTTTGTACGTAAGGATCAGCCAAGTCACAAGTTATAGTCGGTTTAGGAACCATTTTACTAACATCCTGACTCCAATGAGCAGGTACTGACCCACGCATTTGTACGAATGAGCTGAAACGTCCTCTGCTTAAAGAGCTCACGCCAGAGTCATGAACTATTTGCTCCGTTTCTACTTCATTCGCGACATCTCCCTAAATTCACACGCTCGTTAGTTTACCTAACAATACTTGAGATAAATGTAACATACACGCGCATGATGTGCACTTACATCAAAATTTGCACCACGTTTCAGAAAACGAGTGCCCGCATACTTGTTACTTCTTCTGGCAATAATGGTAACGTACATACTTCTGCCAAAAATGCTCACGTTTGATTGACCAATAAAACCATGTATTATGTACAATATCCAGTCAGGGTGTAGATCTTTTTCCACAGGCTTCAGGAGATAGGAATTCCACACGAAGCGACGATTTGGATTGCTCCTTACACCGTAATCCATATATTTCTCGCTCTCACTGCAAATATTCTACTTAAATAAAATGTTCAACCATCTTTCTTGAGACGTGAGAGAACACAGTGTTAAAGCTTTTCCAGTACCATTCAGTTTGCCAATCTTTCCTGAATGCCCACATGTTAAAAAACTCCTCCGAATCGTCTGCTTCGTCAGATCCCATTTTTGTGGGTACATTGGTAGGAATGTCAGACTTAATATTCATCGGTGGTGCCATATTACTTTGAAAAGTGTGTGACATGTCATATGAGTAACTGAAGTAAAAGTTGCTCTTGAGATCAATACTCTGGAACATCTTTACATATCTCTGTTCATCAGGATGGAAGATTCGTATCATGTCATTTGGTATGTATATCATTGATGTGTCTTCTATTTTGTATATTGTATGATGACCGATAACTGCAACTCGGCGACGTTTTGTTACAAGGATTATGTAATATCCTTCCAAAAAACGTATAAAACCTAGTATCAGACATTCTCTTTTAAGATCTTATTAAAACTATTTATAAACAAGTTTTATTTAAACCGCTTAAAATAAAAAATTCATTGTACATAGAATAAAATAAACTAGGGAATATTGCTTGTGTGTGCTATATATGTTTATTATTTATTATTAGTTGTAATATTTTATATAATGTGATATACAATCATGCATTTAGCTTAATTGTATGTATTGTAAATACATGAATAAATATCACACCCATGCGTGAGGAAAAATTATGTACATACCACATATCATGATGTTTGATTGCAAATATTAATTTTCCATTAATTAATTATAAACTATATATAGTGCCTATTTTTTTCTAATTGTATAATTGCTATCTATTAAATATCAACAAATTAACTGAATAACTCTGTATTTTGTTTGTCATGTTAGTGAATGTAATTTCATCTTTTTATTTATCATTTTTTATGCTTTTAACAATTTACATTACATTAATAAGCAACATGTGTACATATATTGCTATAATCAAAGGCTAAATTTTCTTTTTGTGCAACAAAGTTATTCTGTTAGACATTTATGTACATCTATTTGCGACTTTGCCAATAAGAAGCTCATGATGCCTTACCAAGAAGAGCAAAAGCCGGCACTAGTCTGGGAAAAGTATCTCTTTGCCACATGTTCTTCCAGGTGAATTTAGTTTGTGTTGGTTTATGCAGTGGCTTTTGTAATTCTTGCTGCTCAGGCTCCTCTGATACACCCGAATTATGTGCAGGTTCTTTACTACTTTTGCCTTTATTAGCAAGCAAATAAACAAGCTAAGTCTTGCATAATGCAATTGACAATGAGTCCAATATATAAAATGTTTTTAATTACTAATGTGATATAGTATATGAATAATATTAGTGATTATACAACCAAGTAATGGCATATATGATAGAGATAAAGTATCATACCATGAATAAGGAGGCATGAGAAAACTGAGGAGCCTAAGCTTCAATGTTTTTGTTGATAGAAAGATAAAGTGCCATAGACAGATATTTTAATTATATTACAGATGTGTTAAAACTTATATAAGTTACATATTTCGTATAGATACCAGAAGCTTATTACGTGCAACTATTAATAAGTAAATATTTATCACACAATATGCAGTAGAGAAAAATGTGGCTTAGTGATCTTACCAACAATTCCAAAAGCAGATACAACACGAGCAACACCACCCACATTATTGCGCTGTCCTGCTCGTGTTCTGTTGCCCATATCTATCATGTTGACCAAATCTTTAATTTCCTCCTGAGTGTATTCTCTTTTGTCATCCACTACAACCAATTCTCTCGGTTCCATTCTGTCAATTTTCAAAACTCGAAAACGTGTCAGTGTGTTGTTTGATCCCATTAAATAAAACCGCTGCAAAGTGCATATGCAAAAATGTAAACACTGATTCAAAAGCAATATACTTTTAATTTAAAAAAAACAGCTAATAAAGATATAAATGTAAAACTTACGGACTTTGTCTCGTAAAGAGCAATTTTCTGTATGGAGGAAATAATTGGATGAAATACCACGATTGGTTTGCCTTTTTCCTCCATGGTACTTAATATTTGAAAAACTAATGTAAGAGAAATAGAGATTGATCCCGTTAACAACTTGTCATTCTATGTTACAATGGACATGCTCAGTGGGCTTGAAAGAGTAACCCATATGCCACTTCACCAGTTCACCTGTCATTCTAATGTGTCCTAATGTTTACATCAAGGAGAAGTCTGAGAGCAACTATCCCATAGTAATTTTTTACAACGTTCTCGGTTGATTTCAGTGTTATATATCCCGCATCAAAAAGTAAATGTAAAAATTACGGTGTGAGATGTGCTTTCAGACGTAGATAGTACAAATGTAACTCTCGGTTACAGCCCGTGCAGACAGCACAGAAAAGTCAAGTGTTTTTAAGTCGTCTTTTAAATATCTGTTATCTGGGTTATAGGTTTGGTGCATATATGGCTCAAACCTTAGACCATATATACTTATAGACACGGCTTCAGACAACTATCTTGAAGCAAAGATAATATCATCTACATGACGTCACATGTGGGCAAAGCAAAGGCGCGTTTATAGACGGCTTCAGATAACTGCCTTGAAGATAAGATAATATCATCT